CTAAAGAAATAATTTTAAATGTGTCATATAGGAAGAAAAAAAAGTAACTACCGACACCGAGGTTCGAGCGTGACACTCTGGACTTATGAATATATGTTTTCCGCCAGGTGTATAAAAAAAAGGTATCAGGCTACTGACTGCAGTGATCATTGAGTGACTACTGAGTGGAACTATCCAGTTGAATTAGTGTGAACTATTGTGTGTCGATGATTTTGATTTTGATTTAGGAATTACCAGACGTTAAGCCACGCGACTAACAAGGTATTCACTAAAATGGTTAATTATCTAGTTGATTTTTACTTTGTTTTTGTTAAGTATTTAATCGCAGTTGTGATTAAATACTGTCATATCTTAACATTGAAGTCTTGAGTTATACTTAATTATTAACGGCCACCGTACGTCAAAAAAAATAATAAATGAAAAAGTAAGTAAATAGGCACTCTTGGATGGGAGTCTTAGCCCTCAGCGATCGACGAATTAGGCAATAAAATTTAGAAAAAGAAACTAAAACTTAAAAAAGCAGGAAGAGTTTTTTTTTTAATTTAACGACAAAAGAACAAAAAGTTCTTAGCGAGACACAAACTAGTATCCATTTTGTCTGCTCGACATGTTGAGGTTTACGATTGTCCTAAGGTCGAATCTTGCCATTTAAGCTTTTATCTTCGAATTCTCTGACTCGATTGCACGGCTCCATATTTTTTTTTTTTTTTTTTATACGTACACGAGTAATATCAGTAAGTTGAGAACACCATAGAGAAAAAACATGCGAGCAACGAAGAAGATTTAAAAACAACAAGTAAACTTTATTTACAATCGGAAGGAGGAAGTCCACTGCTGAGTTGCCTTACAATATCGAATCTCTTATAAGACAGTGAAAGCTGGACAATCTCCTCACGTTCAACCACATCCTGAAGGGACACGGTGTAATTTCTTTTTTTTGTCTTTTAAAAAGCTTGAAGTTTTGACTCGAGTAGATATCAGATCGTCCGAAGAAGATTCGTACTGCATCATCCCTAAAGTTTCGACCTGTTCACAGAGCCGTCTTCAGATTTCCCTGCGATGCTCTTTGCGTCTGCGCCCGAGTTTGACTACCAAATTGACCTATTGGTATAGCCACCCTGACTGCAGCACAATAAAGCAATAACCTGGTTTTCAAACATATTATTCAAACTGGTTTCTCACCACAAGGTTTCGGCCATTTTCACTTCGGACTTTTTTCAGGACGTAGTTGGTAACTTTGAGTGAATTTTGAACCGAAACCTTTTTTTATCTGCACCAAAGTATATCTTGTACTAGTTAATTCCTTCTATTTAATTTTGGTAACGCTAGTCCTTGTTTTATATTATCGACTTACAGGCTAATCAAAACACGTGATTACATACATTGAAATACTATTTATTCACTTCCGGACTTCGTTTATTAATATTAGCGAGTGGGTGTGTGGATGTAAGGGGCTATCACCGAACGTGAATTCTACATTCTCTCGAGGTATATAAGATACTCTCCGTCTCTTTCCTCTCTGGTGGGTGGTTATATATCTACTCGTCATCTAAAAAGTTGATAAAAAATATCTCTTGGATCTTATATACCAAGCTGAGGCATCTAGTAGTCTAATATTTCACCAAACACCGTAGACGACCAGTTTATATATATATATATCTATATATATATATATATATATATATATATATATATATATATATATATATATATATATATATATATATATAAACCGGTGCAAATATAGTTTTAATATGTTCACAATATTTATGGATAAAGTGTCCAATATCAGAGAGAGAAAGTGTATGTAAATATAAATATAAAAGTGAACATTGAAGTCAACAAACAAAGGCGACAGGCTGTTTTATGCTAGACGCAATAGTCAGGCTGCCGATGATTTATCTAGCATGTAAACAGCCTGTCGCCATCTGAGTGTTGACTTCAATGTTCAATTGTATTTATATATATATATATATATATATATATATATATATATATATATTTATATATATATAGTCGATTTGTATATATATATACAACGTAATTATTCGTATATATATAAAATTCTTTTTAACAGACATTCTTTTTAGATGTTTAACGCTAAAAGATAGGAGTGCGTATTATATCCGAAAATTAAGCAAATTTATTTCCGGTCACGTGCGTTCTTATATTCGGAATGGTACAACCGAAATTTATTTTTCTGCGTTTATATTAATCTATTACTATTGAAATTATGTATCTCTTTTCATTGGGTCATCTGCCCCGTAGGGAATTTGGTTTTATTAAACGGCACTGAACGGAGATTATCTATCATCTGAACAGGGCTGACTGCCGGTAACCGAAAAGTGGTAGTTATTTTTCGAGTCTTTTATTAGGTTGAGCCATAAATGGTATGTACAATTCCGCACAAAATAATCTTTTGTAGCCCTGAGTTTCTGAAAGGTCCAGAAAACCAACTTAAATGATTTTTAAGTGCCTTTTGTTCATTGGTTATCCAATG